AAAGCACTGGCATGGTCCACCAATATTTTACCTTGACTAGAGATCACACTGACTAAAGTCTAGTCAAACTTCTGTAGAGAACTGAAAAAAATACATTCATTTCAAGAAAAGCAATGCAGAAGTGCATTGTTCTTAAAATAAGACATGCTAACACTGACAGAGGAAACAAAATTCTGAAAATAGCATAATTGACCTGATGTAATTTTTTGACCAACAGAGACATAAATATGCCTAAAGGTCAGAACAGACTTTATTACTCCAGCAAGCACAGTAATAAACTCATGAGAGAAGAACATTTCCCAAAAAGGCATGTGAAAATTAGAAATAGTGAACTGTACTGCACACTGGATGATCTATCTGGCAAATAAATATACAACCACTACAACCCTTTGCTCTGATCAGGCAACTTTTGGGGGTCATTCCAATGGAGCCGTGGCCAGTAACTATATAGGATTGAAACCATCTAACAGTCACTTCTCTCTGATGATGTTGGAGTTATTGCACTAATAACTGACCTTCAGTGTGGTTTAAGGGGAAAAAAAAAATTAAGTAGTATTTTTATAATTTATGCTCCAATTGACCAGTGACTGTTATAAATATGAGCATGGTTTGTAATTGTTACAGTGAATCCCAGTAAGACACAGGTTTGTTTCTCCTGCACTATCCCATCTTCCACATTGGTTAGAATGTAACATCCCTATTGTCAGAACTTGAGATAAACTGTAATTGGTATGTAGGTACAAGCTTTATTTTCTTTTCTCTGAAGTTTAACAGAAGTCATATTTTAGAAGGGTTTTTTTAATGCTTCTCCCTATATGTGCATACATATATATGTCTATACAGACACACACCTTGTTTGTGTATGTGTATGTATTTTATATACATAATTATATATATATATATATATACAGTGTTTAGTAGAAAGCTCCCAAACACCTATCAATCCAGTTTCCCAGATCTGCAACTGGATCAGACGAGTAACAACCTGTCAGCTTTAAATATTGGCCTGTTTGTCTCCCTGTGTCCAGTGCCTAAGATCTCATTAATTACCTAAACTCTCTTTCTGTAGGTCTTGTTAATTACCCGTCTCCTGTCTCGGAGGACCTTGTTAATAACTTGTACAATCTCTCTAAAAAGGTCCTAATAACACATTAAAATTAAAGATGCTTTTCTTTTAGCACTTGTCAAGTGGTGTAAATTGAGAAATTTGCACATCAGTTTATTAGCCTGTAGTGTGGTGTCATGTATTTTCCTAAACAAAAACAATTTCAGAAAAACGATGCGCCAGGTTTGGTTATGGCACAAAACAACCTTTGTTTTTCCAGGAGGACCCTCAGTTTCTTTAACTGTGTTCAATACAAAATCCACGTGGCTTCTGACTGCAAATTAACCTCTTGAGAGCCATGACAATAGCAGTGATTGTAAGAATGAATTCAGTCTAAGGCAATATTAGGTCAAAGTTTCAAAGCAGTGGATTAAGAAGTAGGAAGACAAAGCTATCCTTGGTAAATGCTGGCCTGAAGAGCACTGGACACATTGTTTGCTTAAAAATTCTTCACTTGGCTGTATGATATAAAACCTCTGGAACCAACAGATTTTGTAATATTTGCTAAAATAGCATTTTTTGTTTCACTATGAGACTCCTGCATTTTTAAATTGTCAGGAAGTCAGCTCATAAATATCTGTATTACGCCTACACCCAACAATAAAACCCCTCAATCTTAACACTTATGTAATACTGCAATACAATATCTATAAAAATGTTAAAAAACGCTAATTTATCCACTCAGCATTTGCAGGAGGTAACAAAATATCATCCCCATTTTACAGATCTAAGTGATTTAGCCAAAGCCAAAGAAAAAGCCTTTGCCAGGTCAGAGATTAACAGAAATCAGGGGTCCATATTTTGTGATTTCCTGATAACTAGAATTATATACAAACCAAGCAGGTTTTGCTTTGCTTTTCCAAAATACTTCTCAAACCTCCTTGAAATAAAAATAATAAATAACAATAACAAAAATAAATAATGATTTTCAAATAATCCTGAGACACTTGCTTTTAGAAAAAAATAAATCCCGTAACTGTTGCCGAACCACTTCTACATTTTCTGTATCATCAGCTGAGAAACACGTGGAAGATGTACTAATTAAAAGAATGGAGTAATTAGTGACAGAGCATGCACACAGCCAGCTAGGAGGAAGGATGGGCTGGGTGAAGGGCTGTTCAGCAGCTCTGTTGTGCAGCTCACCCACCCAGCGTTGATGTTCTCCACGAGTTACTGCTCAGTCAACCTAATTAGGATGGATTGAGCCCGACCCAGAGCTCCCCAAAGTCACTGCAGAGCCTCCCACCAAGTTCCCAGGCACAGCCCCATCGCTGCTGAGAGCGTGACACCCACACCACACACGAGGAGGAGCTGGTTTGGGTCAAGGTTTTTTTTTGGGGGGGGAGGGAGGAAGAGTTGCTGTGGTTTGTTTGGGTTTTTTTCCTTCCCCTTTGCTTTATGTCCAGCCTGGTCCTTCTGTGGTTCCAGTGTGCTCCTGGGATCCACCTTCCAGCTGGATTTCCTCAGCCAGGAACCCAGTTCACAGCCCCAGGACTGTTCCACCCCTCACACCAAGGCTTAGCTGAGTGGGGTTAACTGGGAGATCACCACAGCAGAACACTGATCTGGGACACACCTTAATAACCATCCACTGCCTGATCTGCTTGCAGAAATGGGAGCCATCCAAAAGAGCTTAATAGCATGTTGAGTAAATAAAAACCAACTCAGTGTCTAAATTCCCTGTCCATGCTTTCTGCAGACTGAATTCATTACCCAGCCTCATGGATTTTGTGCCCACAGATTCATACAATTCTTTCTTACAGTATTACTAGTTCAAAAAAATTAAAAATGGGACTCTCTTCGACAAATCCTCCACAGATAAAAGGTAAACTCAAACTGTAAACTTATTAAATATGCACATTTTGTATTAGTTTCTACTTCAAAAGAAAATAATTGTACAAGATACATTTGAAAGAAAGTAAACTAAGTCTAAAAGGTTTGCACAGAACATAATAATGGAACACATAAAAATCAAGAGCTTCTAACTTAACTTACTGCACGCCAGATACTATTCCATAATAGCTGTCTTATAGAAAAGGTCAAAACTTTTTTTTTCTTTTTGAAAATAAAATAATATCTATTTGTTTTATCAAAAGTTTATGTTTACATAAAAGTCAAGAACTAGTAAAAGAGACTCTTATACAAAGAGGGAAACAAATGACTAGAGTCCTTCTGAATGGGCACTGTGATGAGCTTTTTAATTACAAAATAAAGAAAAAGAAGTCCATCGTGATTACCATTAAAGATTTATATTTATCAAGATTTGCTGCATTCAAGAACTTCAAAAGATTTCACTGCTTATATCTAGCATCTGCCTGAATACAGTGTTTCATTTAAAAAAATTAAATGCTATGTAGTTTTAATTGTTATTTAAATTATTTCTCTTTAAAGGAGCTTATTTAAACGGAAGTTTAACTTCTTACAAACCAAGCTACAACCTAACCTCCCTCTAATCCACAGAAAGCCTTTATTAAATAAATAATATTCCAGGACTGCCTGTAAACATGTTACTGCAGACACTAGGAACTGACTTGACTCATAGAAGACACTAAGAAGATAATTTATTGAAGTCTGTGTGAGCTTCTAAGAACCAAATCTTTTCTACAGCAGTTCCAGTTCAGTCCATTTATCTAAGTCACATCCACCATGAGTTTTGTTAAGAAAATTACTCTAAGGTTGAATCAGGAGTGCATGCATTCTAACCTATGAATAAAACTGAGTTCAGATACAATAAGATCACCCTGTTCTAAAATCTTAAAGAATGAGATAACAAGAAAGAAGTTTTTATTTCTTTTAAAGAAACTACTCCCATGTCATTAATTAAGGAATTATTACACAGGAGAAGGAAAATTTGTTAGAACATGTTTTCCATTTAAAACAGTGATTTATTTTCCAATCTTAAGATTCCAGTTTGGAGCATTTTAATTTTAAATGCATTTTCTACCAAATTTAAGTCCTTAAATAGAAATTAATCATTACCTTGAAAAAACAAGGACATTAATATACAATTAAAAAAAGAATGAAAATGAATAAAAGTTAATTATTTAACTTCTTAAACATTTATCTATTGGGAACAGTATATGTGAGGGTGTGTGGACAGAGAGACAGACAGTGTATCTTCCTCACTAGTTAACAAAGGCCAGAAAGAAATCTAACTGTGGGTGACACTATTTTTTTCCTTAATTAAGGATAACAAGTAAAGTGTCGACAGACAAACAAAGATTAAAATGGATTATTTAAATCAAAGTTTCTTATCAGCCCTGGCGACTTAATTCATTCTGCTCAGCCCCTAAACTGCTGCCTTGTGCAAGGAATTCCACCCACAGAAAGCCACAGTGAGCCAAACAACTTCAAGAGAGGTGGGTGGCCATGGGGATGCCCCCAATTGGAAATAAAATGGTATTTAATTCTTGTACTCTAACATATAGAACCTAAATACTCTTTTTCCCCCTCACACAGTGACATCCACAGGATTTTCACTACTCACATTTTCTTCACTCCTTTATTTATTTCATCCTTCCCTTAGATTTGAAATTTTTCCCTCTAAAAGCCTGACTTAGGGCAATGCAATAATTAGCAGTAAGTGTCCAGTGAAAGCAGAAGACTTTCAGGAATAATCCATTCTGAAGCACAAACAAGGTCTTCCACAGATGCAAGCACCCAAGATCATTCACAGTACATATAAAAGAAATAGTAATACAAATAGTAATAAATAGTAATAAAAAGTCACTTCAAAATGAAGAAAATTATATAAAAATTTCATAACTTTTACTTAGAAACAGACAAGCAATGATATAAAGGGATGTGAAGCACAAAGATGGTGTTCCTCAACACTTCACATGTTCATTTCTATCACATGTTCAAGATATCAGACTGAAGCACAGCAAAAGCCTACCTTGAAGATGGCAACGTGCTCGTGGGCTTGAAGTTTGTCACAAAGGGATTAGTTGGCTCATAATCAAAACTCTCCTGATGAGCTTCCCCAAACGCCCCGGGGGATTTCAGGTCAGTGGAACTCTCTGATCCCCCATTGCTGAGTTTATCTGACCTCCTGCCATCTTTTTTTCCAGTCACTCTTTCAAACAGACTAACTTTCTCCTTTTTCTTAAGTTCCTTCCTGATTTCCACGGGTTTGGAGAACAGATTTATGTTCTGATCCCACGCTGCTGGGCTCTCTTCAAACGGGTTCTTCTGTCTTGGCAGTGTAGCAAATTTTTGGGGTAACGAAGCACTCACGTTGGTAAATGGGTCATTTTGTGCTTCAAGTGCAGCTTCATCGACCGTGCTGTCAAGCTGGGTCATTTTAGAAGTATCAACACTTAATGTCCTTCTGTGTGGAGATTTTAGACTCCCTGCAAACAATCTGTCATTAGTATATTATCAATAGGCACAGTATCACAGTTTATGACATGCAGAAAACCCAGTTTAGCTCAGATCTAGAAGCTCTGCAATGGAGTGTCAGTTCAAAATTCTGATGAGTAACTAAGCTATTTAAAAAAAAATAATAAATTAACAGCTTGACTTTGTGGTTCAGAAATGTTTATAGATAGATACTACAGGAAATTTTTGTTTCCTGTGTGAAAACTAAGTTCTACAGAGAAGACAGCTATGACTAGTGTGCCATTCCAGAAAGAGACAGCAGTCTATTGCTGCATAATAACTTTGAACACAGCAAAGTATTTTCTGTTCTTTGGATAAATCACATGTAAAAATCGGTGATAGTTTTCAACTTTTTAATTAAACTTATTTCTCACAAGGTGCTATTTTGCCTACAGTCCCAGAATGCAATGCTTCACTATAATATACTCTCAAATGAGAACGTAAGAAAAGCTAAATTATCATATATTTTCACAAAATAAGTTATTTCTTATGCTCAGAAATAGAAATGATGAGCTACCACCAACTAAAGGAAGTAAAAAAAATAGGTCAGCAATATTTATTTACTTTTTGGCCTTGTATTGCTTCATGAACTGAAGAAAGAGATTTTGAATGCTCTAACAGCAGGGAACAGTGCTTGTAATGGTCATGAGCTTTACTCACCCCCTTCATCCACGGAGCCAAAGGACTCCAGCTGCCTCCTGAAGAGGTGGGAGTAGCCAACGGTGCCGGGTTTCACCTTCTCGGAGGAGACGTGCGGGCCCGTCAGATCCGACATCGAGTGAGCTGAGGACAACCTCTGAGGTCCCAAAAGGAAAGGTTTTTTTGGTTTGGATTTCATCTGTACTTCACCACTACACACCTCTATGTTTGCCTCAGGTATGTGAGTACTTGGGATGATTGCAGAGGATGTGTCCGAAAACGTCCCATCGTTTTTCCGACCCTTCATTTTGTCTTTTAGTTTAGCAAAAGGGGATTTGGTTTTGTCCTTCATTGACAAATCAAACATACTTGCTGTCATGTTATTCCTCATAAACTGAATATTGACCTTTATTTCTCCTCTGTCTTTAGTTCTCTTCCCTTGTCTGGACTCTAGGGGAAACCACCTTAAAGGAGAAAAAGAGCAAATTCAGTTGTGTTTTCTGGAGGCTACTCATTAAACTGGTTAGTGGGTTAATGCATCGGGTCAGTACAATCTGAGAAATGAAAACCCAAATCCTGTATCAAAGATTCAATTATTCCTGTACTGAAAAGCTTCTTTGTTTATATTCGTTTTTGCAACAGAAAATAACCAAGCAAGTAGGGAGCTCTTTACAGTGTTCACCTGCTTTGAAAACCAACACCAACTCTGGAAGCTTCCTTAACTTCATCAAAGCTAATGGGCTCACATCTGGGAAGGACAATTTGTACCTTATATTAATGATAAATACAGATACATTTTATTTTGCTATTTAAAAGAACACTTGACAGTTTTCAAGTGTTCTATATTTATCAGTGATGTATATTAATGTACATTAATATAATCTATATTAATGTGGCAACTTCCTCACCTGGTAACCTTTTCTCCTTTGGTTTTGCTCAGGTTTACACACCAGCAAACATTTTCCCCTCTCCCCCTTCCTTCTGACCTCTGGTTAAGATTTATGTCAACTGCACGAGCAAAGAGATGTCTGAGAGCTCTGAACAGCCAACCACCATTCCAGTTCTGCAACTGCATCCCCAGGGATGCTGACAGCAACTCCAGGAGCATGAGGTGCATCTACAGCCATCCTCTCCTTTGCAGGTCACCAGCAGGATTAACTTCAGAAATATTTCCCCAGGCTTTGGAACCCTGATGTAAATCCCCACTCCTTGAAAGGAGATCAAAGGTGTGATCATCTGCTTCAAAAAGCCAAGTGTGCTTCCTTGCCAGGTCCAACTAAAGCTTTATCATTATCCAAGTGTCTTATTCATCCCCTATTGTGCTCCATTGTCCCACGGAAGCATCTGCAGAATTTTGGCTCAATCTTCCCTCCACAGCTTCACCCAAATGAATGACCCAGATGATCCCTTCTCCACAACCATCACCAACAGCCCTTCCCTATTTCAAAAGGGGCACGGGGGCATCTTTCAGATCCAGCAGCTCCAAAGGAATGCTCTAAACCCACTGCCAGGAGAATTGTATGCACACAGATTAACAGAGCAGCTCATCACCACAAGGAAGTAACTTCTGGATTGGAGACCAAGAAATTAAATTGCCTATCGGCACAGATGCAAAACTGATTGCAGAGTTATTCATACATTATTCACTCCTGTCAAATATAGAAAACAAGGTCAGGAAAGGAGAAAAATAACCCTCCATTTCCTTTCAGATTTCATAAATATTTTTAAAGGTGACAGCTGAAATCAAATTTTCAGGCAGAGATACTGTTATTTGAGTTGAGAAAATACTTCTAAAAATGACACACTAAAGAAACAACATGAGGATAGAGAGTATTAAGCCTTTTTTTGTTGCTTTGTGATGTCCACAAGATTTTATGTTTCATACTGAACCAGAATAATTAAGATATATCAGACCTCCTCTGTCCTGGCACTGAACAACATGAATCCAGACCAGCAGACCCAGAAGTTCAAACCAGTAGGAGGATAATTAAACCTTTAGGAAGAAAGTTTTTCTTCTGTTGTGAGGTAACTTCATTTATGTATTTTAAATGAAATGCAAAACCTGAAATATGTGTCTGAAGAAGATGGATCGTTTTTTCCTTTTAGTTAATAACGTTTCACTTCTTTGGTAACTGATTCCAGAAACACTTTAAGTCATCTATAGACTCGTTACAGAAAACACACACAACAGAACCACAAGTAAGTTTTTTTGTGCTATATAATACTGCAAAAATGGGAAGACAAGACAGCCTACTTGCTTTAAAACTCTTCTTTAAAAGAAAATCTGTTCGCATTTTTTCTTAAAAAAAATAAAAATAAAAATACAGAGCCATAATGGGCAAGCCCTTGCTCAGGGAGATCCTGCCTGTGCAGAGAAAAGCTCAAACCCCAAATCACCCTGAAACTGAGAAAGTGCTCCCATGATTCCTTAGACAGACACTAAATATACACATAACTACAAATAAGGCTCATGAGTGTTTCAAGAGACTTAATAGGCAGAGAGGACCTCACTTTTTGACATTTAAATTTAATGGCTAGGCCTACACTGTAACAAAACATTCCCTTATTCCCTCTTCCTCTCTCCTCACGGGTCTTAAACATTAATACTGTATCTCTGATAAGACTGCTGAATTTTCATATGTTCCTACTTAGGAACTACCAAAACTTTAAACTGGTGTATGACACTTGTTAACTTGTTTGAGAACAATATCAAGACACAAATTCTTAAGTTTTTGCTTTGTGGAAGAAAGTATCTTGTTTTAAAAATTAATTTAACTCAATTATTGGCATTCTTATCATCAATCTCCAAACACTCTGTGCCTCTGCCAGTACTCACCTGCTAACAGCAATACCTCCACTTAATATTTTGAAATTCACCTCTTCTTCACCACTAAAAATAAGTTCAGCTGGGAAAACAAAGGAACTCTCCTTACCCATGGAAGACACCAGAACAGCACACGGGGCTGAGCCTCCTACCTGCTGGGACCAGGTTCAACACAAACTCTTTTACTCCAGCAAAATTCCTCTGGACTTCAGTGGAATTTCTATTTGAATAACGATTGCTGGATCAAATCATTGTATAAAAGACAGATATTTAATTTTCATAGGCATTTCAAGGAGGTTTCTTTGTTACCTTGGAGAGTTTATCTTGCTTTAGTTATAATGAAGGTTCCATATGCTTCAGCTCATAACAGGACAATATGAGAAGCAGACTCGAATCATGATTTCCTTCGAATTCAAAGGCAACTAATTACTTTTTTAAACAGATGAGAACAAATGCAGGCAATGCATTTGTGTGGAGCTGCACGTGAACGAGCAACTGAGCCTGTAAAAGTTTCTTATTAGAATCTGTTTTGACAACACATGGGCGTGAGCAACAAACAGCAAAAGCAGCACTGTGTGTGTAACAGAAAAAAGAACTGGAAAATGAAGTCCACTGTTTGCAGATAACAACATTTCGGTCCTAAAATACCAAATTCCACTACACCACTGCCAATTTAAGAAATTGTAATGTATTATAAAAGCCAATAAAACTTGCTATTTTGGTTTTGTTTACAGTACTTTTAGCCACAATAAATGCTCCATTTGTCAGCCTGCCACGAGCTGATTCTATAGAAAGTCTGCACAAAGTAGGAAAATAGCCAATAACTCACATGAACAAAACAGGGTGGCTTTTACGAGAGCAGATGCCCTTTTATTTAATAACCAAATATTACATCCAGTCTTGCAGACAGTCTTTATTTAAACAGACCTTGTACAAAGTCTGGCAAATTTTCCCAACTTCAAAGGAAGCCCTATTGCCTTCTGAATCACATTCATACTTCTTGCTCTCACCTTCCAATGTTCTGTAGGGCAAAGTCCTCCATACACCCTCTAATTTTGAATTTTTCCCTATGGCTTCCATCAGAACAACCCTTGCTTCTTTCTCTCACCTGTTTTGGAGTGTGCTGATGGGCTTTGCCTGCCTTGCACGGGGTTCTGATCATTTTTACTTTTACATAATTGCCACTCTGTATGCTGACAATTTTTGAACATGCAAAGAGATGATCAACATTCAAGGCTGAACAGGAAAAATGCTGCTGACCAGGCAGTCCTGAAAAGCTAAACTTTTAACTGAAGAAACATGGTTACTTTCTAACCATGACAAAATCCCCTGGGTTTGGCCATATCTACAATTAGGAGTGGAAAAAGCAAACTCCCTTTTTTTCTAGCAAAGACAATAACCACCTTCTGCACACCATAAAATAAATTGTGCACTATTAGCAGCACTAAACCCTTTACCTTAGTAAAGACAGGCAGGAAGAGTGAAGGAGAAAACTGAAATAAGCTACTATAAATGAGCAAGTCACAAAATTCTGGCCTGCCTATTCCATTTAAATAGCCAGTGATCTACAAATGTACTGATGTTTCCAACACATTTTCTTCAACTGGTTTTTTGCCTCCCCCTTTTTAATTTAATTTGTCCCCCAAATCTGCCATGGAATTTGACAGTTCCAAGTCACATCCCTCTCTTTCCTTTGAAGAAGCATCACTCAGCCTATTCTCCTCACCATGTAACAGGGACCAGCACAGGCTGACAGTGTGGGTAAGAAAAACAGTAACAGCATGGGTAAGAAAAACCACTACATAATTTCAATTACATTTTAATTATATAGTTTAACTGCCTCCAAAATCACTGGGTAACTTGTCTACCAATTTCCACAGGAATCATAAGTCTTCCAGCCAGAACATTCAACCTGTGCATGACAGATGATCTCCTGACTCCGTCTTCTTGCCAGTGCCAAAGCTGGAAAGTATTGGAGGAATTTTCTCACTCCTTTTCCTGCTTCTCAAATACACTGCTCTGCCTTCACTCTACTCAATAATTATCTATTGAGCTGATGTAGTTTTGTTTTGCTGGAAGCATTAGTTTGCACCCAAATAATTTTGCAAAGTCCTTATTTTAATTCACAAATTATTGAAGGAATATTTCAAAAAGCCCCATAATTATCACAGCATCTGCAAGGTTTCTAACCTTGATTTTACACGTAAAAATCAGCATCCTGACCTAAACACCTTTCATCTGCTACACAGGAACGAGGGGAATTTTCTATACTAGCAAATACTTCTAAACCTATAAAAGATCATCAGAATGCCAATGACAGAACAAGTCCACTACTGTCACAGGCAAGAAGTACTTCACTAAGATGACTACTATCAACCTAGACACACTGAGGAAACTTGCTTCAGAAAACCCCACTAACACAAATGTCCACAGCTAATTGATAAAAAACAACACCCACAGCCCACAACTGACATTTTCATTAGCAGCATATGCACTTTGAAAAATGCAGAAGTGTGTTTTGTGATAAATCATTCTGATACCACACTGAGAGACAGCCCCAAAAGTCAGCAAGTAGGAAAATTAAGGCAAGGGGCTGGGCACAGACATCGTGCACGAGGGGAAATTAAGAAGAAAACAGAT